AGGAGCCGCTGAGCTGCCGCGGCGAGCGTGGGAACGAAGGGGAACATCACACCTAAGACCAAGCTGTGTGACGAAGGCCAGGGGGTCAGACAGACGTGTCTCTAAGGCCCCGAGGGGCTAATAACCTGATGTCTAACCTTGGGAAGTGGCTGCGTGAGTGACAGCACAGGTTCTCTCTGGGATAGTCCGCAACCATTGAAAACGGTGGATATAAAGATACGAAGCAAGTGGAGAAATGACCCCGACGCCTGTTTCACTAAAGGTAGAAACAGAAGATGCTAGGACGGTGCTGCTCAGACTCGGTGGAGAAAGACAGGTTTGTTTGTAAAATGTCCATTACGAACATTTATAAAATGCCATAGAAATAAATGACAAGCATCTATCCATCAAAGGACTATTAGATAAAATATTTTAAAAACTCAATGGTAAAAAACAACAAAAGTCATGACGGGCCACCTCACGAGGACGGCGGAAAGGGAGCGTAGGGAGACCTTCGCTCGCATGGTCGGCCCAGAGATGGGAGTGAACCGCAGGGGGCTCGCACAGGTTCCTGGGGCTGGTCACAATCACCGCAGATTCAGCGGCTTTAGACTCCAGGAGTTGTCCCCCCACATTCTGGAGGCAGGCGTCTGAACCGAGGCGTGGGCAGGCCGCGCTCCCTCCAGGGGCTGCGGGGAGCCCCTTCCACGCCCCTTCCCGCTCCGAGGCTGCTTGCGATCCGAGCTCCTGGCCTTGCAGCTGCATCACCCGGCTCCGCAGTCACACGCCTTCTTCCCGCGCCTGTGCCTTCGCAGGACCTTCCTACACGGACACCAGTCGTTGGATTTAAGGCTTGCCCTGAACTCAGCACGACTTACCTTAATCTGATGAGATCTGTAAAGACCCCATGTCCAAGTAGGGTCGCATTCATGGGTCCTGGGGATTAGGACTTGAACATATCTTTCTAGAGGACAAAATTCAACGCACAATGATGGATAAAATAAAAAATAGGGGTAAGCCCAAATGCCAGCCAGGATGGGGAGGAACCAGATCCGTCATTCATGGAGCTGGAAAGTCCTTTGCAGTTTACCGTCTCACCCAGCAACCACATTCTCGACATTTGTCTCGGAGAAAGAAACACGCAAAAATCGTACACAATGTTCACAGCGGCTTTATTCATAGTAACCCAAACTGGAAACGACCCAAACGTCTTTCAACCGGCGAATGGTTAGACACACCATGGTACATCTGTACCACGAAATACTATCCAGCCACATAAAGGGATGAGCCACTGACACACGCAGCGACCTGGGTGGATCTCGAAGGCGTTAATGCTTAGCGAACAAGCTGATCGCAAAAGGTTACGTGCTCTATGAGTCCATTTATATCATATTCTTCGTTTTAAATCTCACTCAGGGATATGTTTTTATTGATTTTAGAAAGAGAGAAAGGGGGCGAGAGAGAAAGAGAAATATCCATCAGTGGGTTGCCTCTGGTACTCTCCCCACCAGGAATCAAACCTGCAACATTTTGGTGTGTGGGCCACACTCCGACCAACTGGGCCACCTGGCCAGGGCCATTTACATAACATCCTTGAAATGATGAAACTATAGCCATGCAGAACAGGGTAGTGGCTTCCAGGACAGGGTTAGGGGTGGGGGCCTGGCAATAAAGGGGCAGCAGGAGGGAGGTGCTTTAAGTTCTGTATGTTAGTTGTCTCTATGAATTTGACTATATTCTAGGTCTCTCCTATAAGTGGAATCATACAATACTTGTCCTCTTGTGTCTGGCTTATTTCACTTAGCACGTCTTCAAGGTTCATCAATGTTGCAGCATGTGTCAGAATTTCCTTCTTTTTAAAGTCTGAACAATACTTCACTGCATGTATACGCCACATTTTGTTTATTCATTCATTCACTGATGAACATTTGTGTTGTTTCCACCTTTTGGCTATTGTGAATAGTGCTGTTATGAACATTGGTGTGCAAATTACCTGTTCAAATCTCTGCTTTAAATTCTTTGAATATATATATATAAATATATACACACACTCAAGTGGAAGTGGAATCGCTGGATCATAAGGTAATTCCGTTTAATTTTTTGCAGCACCACCATACTATCTTCCACAGTGGCTGCATCATTTTACATTCCCAGCAACAATCTACAAGGGTTCCAATTTCACTACATCCTTGTCAACACTGGTTATTTTCTGTTTTTTTTTAAATATTATTATTATTATTATTATTGTCATCCTAATGGGTGTGAAGCTATGTCTCACTGTGGTTTTGACTTGCATTTCCCTAATTACTAGTGACATTGAGCATCTTTTCACGTGCTTTTTGGCCACTTGTATATCTTCTTTGGAGAAATGTCTAGTATTCCAGTCTTTTGCCCAGTTTTTAATCATGTTGCTTGTGTTTTTTGTTGTTGAGTTGTAGGAGTTCTTTTTATAATCTGGAGACTAATCCCTTATCAGATATACGATTTGAAAATACTTTCTCCTGTTCCATTGGTTCCCTTTTCACTCTGTTGACTGCATCCTTGGAGACACAAAAGTTTTTAATTAAGTCCAATTTATCCACTTTTTCTTTGTTGTCTATGCTTTTGTGTCATATCCAAGAAATGTTTGTTAAATCCAATGTTACAAAATTTTCCCCCTATGTTTTCGAAAAAGAGTTTTGTAGATTTAACTCTTATGTGTAGGTCTTTGATCCATTATGAGTTCATTTTTGTAGATGGTGTAAAGAAAGAGTCCAACTTCACTCTTTTGCATGTGGATATCCAGTTTTCACAACACAATTTGTTGAAAAGACTGTCCTTAAATGGTCTTGGCCAATACCACACTGTTTTGACTACTATAGCTTTGTAGTAAGTTTTGAAATCAGGAAATGTGAGATATCCAACTTTGCTTTTCTTTTTCAAGATTGTTTAGGCTATCTGTGGTTTCTTGAGATTCCATGTGATTTTGGGGTGTGGACTTTTAATTTCTGCAAAAAGCATCTTTGGGATTTTGATAGGGATTGCACTGAGACTATAGATTGCTTTGGGCAGTATTAAGACTTCTAATCCATAAACGTAAGATAGATGCCTTTCCACTTATTTGTGACTCCTTTAATTCCTTTCAGCAATGTTTTGTAGTTTTTAATGTACAAGTCTTTTGTCTCCTTGGTTAAGTTTACGCCTAAGTATTTTATTCTTTTTATTGCTATTGTAAATGTAATTATTTTCTTTTTTTAATAATATACCTCTTCAAACTTCCAATTGCTTTATTTATTTATTTATTTATTTATTTAGAGAGAGACAGAGAAACATCCGTTTGTTTTTCCATTTATTTATGCATCATTAGTTGATTTTTGTATGTGCCCTGACCGGAGATCAAACCTGAAACCTTGGTGTATTAGGACAACACTCTAACCAGGTGAACTAACCAGCCAGGGCTAGAATAATAATAATTATTATTAATAATCCTCACCTGAGGATATTTTTTCCATTGATTTTTAGAGAGAGTGGGAGAGAGGAAGGGAGGAGGAGGAGAGAGAGAGAAATATTGATGTGGAGAGAGATAAATCAATTGGTTGCCTCCCGCAAGCACCCTGACTGGGACCGAGGATCGAACCTGCAACCCAGATACATGCTCTTGACCAGGAATCAAACCCGAAACCCTTTGGTGCCCAGGCCAACACTCTACCACTGAGCCACACTGGTAAGGGCTGGAATTATTTTCTTAATTTTCTTTTTGGATTGTTCAAAACACAACTTGTTTTGTGGGTTGATTTTGTATTGTGAAATTTGCTGACTTTTTAAATTAGTTCTAATAGTTTGTTTGTTTTTGAATCCATGTTATTTTGTTTTTGCTTTTGTTTTAACTCAGAGACCTGAGCAGTGACAGGTTTTCTTGCCATCTTCCAGAGCCAGTAAGCAAACTTTTCTAGGTCTCCATTAGCCGAGAGGTCAGGCTTCGAGGATCCCAGCTGAACTCTCCAGTGCTGGTTCCAGCTTCCTGTCCCATGAAGGCCAAGACCTCAGCCCCCGCCCCTGCATGGTCACTACAGGCAAGTGCTTGCCCGCTGGGCCTATTTCCCTCCAATACCCACCCCTCAGAACCCTCGCATCAGCTCACTCACCCCTCTGCTTTTCTGCTCTCTTGATTTCAAAAACAGACACAGTTTATTTTCTACATATTCAGAGCAGGAGTGAGCCCAGCATCCCACTTCCAAATGCACACCTCAAGCACCTGCCTTCACAGAAGGCACATTTTATTTATTCACAGAAGCCAACATTTTATCCCTAGTGAAAAGCCCTACGACAGGATACGGCTAGAGTGGGCAACTCCAATAAGCTGAGAGCCACGAAGGTCATGCCCTGTGGGTGGCAGTCTACTGTTACTGAGGGCCTACTATGTGCCAGATACTGTACTGGATGCTCTGCATACTTTCAATCTCATTAATTCCTCCTTCTAGTCCTATGCAGTAGGTATTATTACTGTCACTGATTCAGTTCAGAAAATCACCAAAAACACAGCAAAGGAGCAGAACCAAGATTCAGACTTAGTTTGGCTCAACCTTTACCAAATATACCTCGTATTCCTCCACCCTTCCACAAGTTATCCGAACCTTCCTCTTCTTGCCCAGTCCCCTGGGGATGGGATCCATGTGGCTTCCTCCCTCCCATCTGTCTTCAGCACCCAGTGGGTGTGACTTCTGCAGAGGTTCCTGTGCTTCTGTCCCTGGAGGACCTGCGCACAGCTCGGGAGGGGCTGCGGCACTCACACGGCTCTTGGCCTGAGCCGGTTGCTGAGAGAAAGGGGGCCTTTGCCAAGGCCTCTGAGGGGAGCTCAGCGCTGGGAGTGAACTCAGCTCTGGTTGGGACCCAAGCACCCAGCCCTCCTGGAGACACTGTGTGAGCCGCTGGCCTCCAGACAGCCCCTCCCACCGCCCCACCCAGGGTGGTGCTTGTGTGGGAGAAACTTTAAATCCGGCTGCCAGACCCCTAGACGGGAGAGGCAGGGAGGGCTGGCCACCATGCACGGCTCCCACAGTCTCCAGGCGCTTCTGCTGCCGTCACTGCTGTTGCTGGTGGCCTCCACGGGCCCCGCCGGGGCCCTCAGCGACCACGAGAGACATGAGATGGTGGAGCTGCACAACCACTACCGGGCCCAGGCGTTCCCACCAGCCGCCAACATGCTGCAGATGGTGAGTGTGGACATGAGTGCCTCTGTCCAGGGCCCCCCCCCAATCCCTCCCACCCCTTACCTGAAGCCGTCTCAGAGATTCGCCTCCCCAGTCAGCGACAGAGTCTCTGAAAGTATACGATTCACAGGTCCCCCTAGGCAGCCCATTACACAGATGAGGAAACTGAGGCTCAGAGGGACAGGCTGATCCTTCAGGGGCTTGAGATCACTAGCTGACAGAGCCAGGCCTGGATGCCCCAACTTCCCACTCCAGTGACCCCTTCCCAGCACTTCCTAAAATGCATGTGCCCCTGGGAGGGGGAAACACCTTGGTGACAACCGTCTTTCAGATGCCTTCCAAGGAGACAAGAAGAGGAAACAGGGCAGCAGGATGGGTCCGGGCACCTGGGGCAGGAGGGAGGTACTGAGGAGGTAGGCTGAGCACAGGAAGCAGATGGAGAGGACTCTGGATCACACAGCTCACATCTGTCTTGGCCACCTGTAAGGTCCGTGGCTTTGGGTGAGTCCCTTAACCTAGTAAGGACCCTCAGCTTCTTATCACAAAGTGGGGTCATAACTGGAGTTACACACATATCAACATGGATTGAATCTCTTAGATATAATATTGAGTGGGGGTAAAAGTGAGATCTCAAATAGATATACATATATATATTAGGTCATATTTACATGAGGTTTAACAACGTAAAAAATACCACTGTATACATGTGGGGACACATGCCGATGTGTTTACACATAGGATGTGTTTAGTACATCGGCATGTGTTTACTACAGACAACAGAAGCCAGATTCGGGGTGGGGTTATCTCTGTCAGGGAGGGAGAGTTATCTGAAGGCAGGGTTAGGGGCAGGNGGGTGGGGTTATCTCTGTCAGGGAGGGAGAGTTATCTGAAGGCAGAGTGTTTATGATCTGGATTAAAAGATGTAAAGTGAGAAATCCACCCCCTTCCTGCCCTTTCTGAGAGCTAGACTGGCCCGTCCCCTCCAGCCACCCTCAGGTGGCCTGGAAGGTTGATGGGCAGTGTCCAGGGAGCCATCACTGATGCCCAAGAGCAAGGTCGCACCTGGGGAACACAGCAGCGAGCCTGAAGGTCCAAGACTGGAGGTTTTTTAACAGCTATGTCCAGTCTGGCAAAGTGACGCTGGTGGGCCCCTTTACTGTCAAAGGCCTGTTTCCTGATCTGTCATGTGGGGCTGGCAACCCNTCAAAGGCCTGTTTCCTGATCTGTCACATGGGGCTGGCAACCTTGCCCTGAGACAGAATGAAACATGACAAAGATCTTGGAGGGGCTCTACAGACACACACAGCCCCGCCATTCAAGCCCTGTCGGCCTGGGTGACCAGGGACAGCAGACAAATCAGGAGCCTGGTACCAGCTCTGCCAACAACTGAGGCCTGGAACTCATTGTTGGCCTCGGTTTCCCCATGTGTAGATCCTTAATGCCTTATAGCCTTGCTGGCCGAGGCTGGGGCTACACAGGCTGGGAGGTGGGCCACAGAGATGGGCTTCCGGCTGGGCAACATTCTGGGAAGCAGTTGGGCGTTGGGATATGCTGCTGCCTGGTGGGCACAAGCTCAGGGGCAACCTCTGCAGTGGTAAAGGCAGAGACTCTGGAGCCAGATGGCCTGGGTTCAAATCATAACTCTGCCATTAATTAGCTGTGTGACCTCAGCCAAGTTACTTAACCTCTCTGTGCCTCAACTTCCTCACCTGTAAATTGGGGATGATAACACTATACCCTGTAGGGTGGTTGTAAGGATCAAATGAGTAAATGTGTGTAAAGCACTAAGAACGCTGCCTGACAATTAGTAAGTGCTCAGTGTTTGATTAACAAAAGGGAACGGATCCTGGGTGAGGTAGGTGGGGGTTATCGCGGACTCCTCTCTCCCCCTCAGCCTCTGCATCTATTCATCACCACTTACCTCCCAGAAGGTTCCGTTTTCCTTGACTCCCCCCGCCCATCTCTTCGGCACAAGCCTGGTTCGGTCTTTCACTTCTTCTCCCGAGGATCCTAGAACAGCCTGTGCCTGCTTCCCAGGCTCTGGCCTCTACTACCAGAAAGAATGATCTGACACACAGGCCTGACCCTGCTCTAAACCCTTCACTGGCTCCCGCTGGCTCCCTAGTGTCTCAGGATAAAGCTCCAACTCCTGAGAAGGTTCTGTGTGTCTGGCCCCTGCCTGCCTCCCTAGCCTCCTCTCGGGCCCGGTTTCTCCTTCAGTAACCCGAACGGCTTGTCTTTCCCCAGCCCAAGGCTGCTGCTCACTCCCTGCCCCGCCGCCGCCTCCTGCGCCATCCGATGGGGGTACCCTTCCCTCTCCCCTGGCCGGCGCCTCATCTTCCAACACTTAGCTCACTGTCTCCTTCTCCACCTTCAGGCTGGGCTAAAGGGCCCTCTTCGGTGCCTCTCTAGTACCCATTGCATAGCTGCCATTGACATGGTGGTCCGATTAATGGCTTATGACAATGTGAATTTGGGCTGCTTGGCCCTTGTTGCCTCAGAGCTGGCACGGTCCCCAAGACTGTTGAATGACNATTAATGGCTTATGACAATGTGAATTTGGGCTGCTTGGCCCTTGTTGCCTCAGAGCTAGCACGGTCCCCAAGACTGTTGAATGACTGAGTGAGCGAGTGAGTGAGCGAGTGGACTTGTTTTCACATGGTAACCATGTGGCCACTGTGGGTGGGCGCCAGGACTCCTGAAACTCCCCAGGGGCCTCTGGACCACTGAGAAGCCTTAAGACCCAAAGCAATGACTCTCGAATGGTGGGACTCCAGGCACCTAGTCAGAACGGGAATGGCAGCTGGGCTCTGCAGGGGAGACTGCTCTAAGCAGGGTCCTGTCTCAGTCTTCAGCAGTTGACAAATATCTGTTGAGCACCTGCTGTGTGCCAGCGCTGTGCCAGACAGTGCCCTACCCTGAAGGCGCTTCCAGTCTAGTCTGGAGTCCAGCAGGTCATCCCAGACACCCTGATCCTTGTCCCCAGCACCCTGTCCCTTTACCACTTCCTGTCTCCCACCACTGCCAGAGTTTGAGAGAACCTCAGGGACCAGTGATTTGGGACGAAAAAGCCCAGAGAGGAAAAGGGGTTCACCCAGAGTCATATTAGCCGGGCTGTCTCAGCCCACTGCTCCCATCCCCACCCTCGGCAGCTGCCCCTGAGAACCTTGTGCGGGTGGGGAGTGGGGTGGACACACAGCCCCCTCCTCTCGGAGTCACCCGAGCTCTTGGTGCTTTATGGGCTGCCTGGCTTCCACAGCTGGATGGGTCCCCGGAGGGTGGAGCAAGAGTTTCAGCCAGGCCATCGGTTTCCAGGAGAGGCCAGAACAAAGTTTAATGGGATCCAGGCCTCTCTCCTCAACCCTTTGGTCAGATGCCTTGTTAATCCCTCTTCCCACCCCCACTGAGCCTGTCCCCCACCCTGGCCAGGGACACAGAACCTCAGGGGCCTCCTAACCTAAAATGCTGTCCTCCTGCTGTCACACCTGAGGTGCCCACTGGAGAACACTGCCTTTGGGATCAGACAGCTCTTTGGGCCACCAGGGCTCTGAAAAGAGGCCTCTCAGTGAGAGTCACGGAGAGACACAGTTAATTTTCTTGGGGAAAGGGGTTGTCAGTTGATACAAATTGAGAGCACTCGGGAAGGGCACTCGGAGGGAAGCCTGCAGCTGGTAAAGCCAGCGAGGCTGGGCTGTCCCGAGGGGAGCGTGGGAGCTGAGAGGGGAGTGCTGGCCCCAAGGCGGATGCATGGGGGGGGGTGGGAATGGCTGAATAAATAACCCAGCATCTCACTGGACATCTCGTGGTCTTCAGGGCAGTTCAGACAGACCTGGGAGGTAGGCAGAGGAATCGCCGCCCACTTTTCACTTGGAATATTAATATTAATTAATAAGAACATTGTCGTAAACATCATCTCATGTCCTTTTGCCAACACCCTATGAGAATGAGAATGCAGAAAGGTTTGGCAACCTGTCCACAATCACACAGCTGGTGAACGGCCCCACGTTTGGCTAACTCCACGGCCGCCGCCCCGCAGGAGCAGAGACCTGCTCCAGGTCACAGCCGAGTCACCCGGCCACCGAGGGGCGGTGAACCCTCAGCCTCCTCGGCCGGGATCCTGGGCACCCTCACTCCCTCTCGCGGCCCCTCTCCCGCCCTCTCTGAGCCCGAGGTGTCCCCGCAGAGGTGGGACGAGGACCTGGCCGCCTTCGCCAAGGCCTACGCTCAGCAGTGCGTGTGGGGCCACAACAAGGACCGCGGGCGGCGCGGCGAGAACCTGTTCGCCATCACCGACGAGGGCCTGGACGTGCCGCTGGCGGTGGAGGGGTGGCACCTGGAGCGCGAGCACTACAACCTCAGCACCGGCACCTGCGACCCGGGCCAGATGTGCGGCCACTACACGCAGGTGCGAGGCCGGGGGCGGCGGGGCTGCCGGGCAGTGGGCGGGGNGGCGGGGCCCCTTGTCCATCGCCACCGCCAGCGCCTCAGTCCACACTCTAAGTCCCCTTAGATCCTTCATAAAAGACCGCTTTCCACAGCTATTCATGGGCGTCTAGGCCTCTGACGAAGTCTGCTCCTCAAACTGAGGAAACCATTTTCAGGCCACTCTTTAAAAATCACAATCTGAAAACCTAGGCGTCGCTCTCGGCCCCCTGGCATGAAGGGACCTAAGTTAGGTGTCGCAGAGCCGTTTCCAGCACGTTAGTTACTGTACCAGGCGTTAGTTACTGACCGAGCTCAGCAGCCCAGGCCTCGAGCTTAAGTTAACGCAGGGCATTTGCCCCAACAGTAAGTGTCCCCCCACTTCTGTCTTCTCTCTCACTGTCCCTCCTCTGTCATTTCTCATGGTGTATAAGTTGCTGCCCCTAATCTGCCACGGACAAATAAAGCAAATAGGCAATTTTGTTTAACTTTTCTTTTGCTTTTAAAGACTATGTGTAAATAAGAACAAATTGTCACTGAGGGACGGTTTCGGGGAGCCTTTGCAGCATGTCCTGCCTCTCACAGTCACTGTTTGCTTATGTCGGGACTCTCACCGCATTTTGAAAGTCTGAGTTTGCAAATAAGAAGTATAAGGGTGTGGGGGGTAGGGCGGGGGGCAGGGGGGAATTAACATTAGTGTTCCTGAATTCTTTTTTCCCTCCTCCCAATAACACAAAGACAAGTTTTTTTTAAAAGACAAAAATAAACCAACCATCTTCCCACCCATATCCACCAATTCGATTTTCCAGTGCCTCATTGGAATTGTATTTTTAGTGCTAATCTTTAGGGCAGGAAATCCCAACATCACTCATCCAGATCAGGAAGTTATGAGGGTGCGGCAGCCCCCCATCTCCGCCCTGCCACCTCTCACACTCCCCTCCCACCCCCATCCTCCAAAGGGATTGCTGTCGGTGCTCAGTGGGTCTGCCCCACCTCCACCCCAGCATTCTCTAGGGCTGAGTGCGCATGCGCTTGGTCATTTCTGCCTGGGAGATGCTCAACAGTAGTACCTGTGGGGCCTTCAGCTGATTTAAGCCAAAGGACCCCAGTCCTGGGAGGGCATGCAGAATTAAATTAACAGCCAGAGCCAGATCTCACAGCAAAAACTGGCCTCAGTTTGAGTGGCTCCTGGGCAGACTGGGCCTAGAAATAGCAAGGGGAGGTTGCAGGTCTCAGCTCATGGTGGTGCACAAAGATTGTTTTGATTTTTAAAATTTTATACCTAAGACAGAACTCCTTCTAGCAACTAGGAGACCCATACTTAGAGATGGCAGAGCAGGTCCCTGCTTACTTTGATTTGGGGAAAGTTCCACTTCCAAAATGGCTTCTCCTGTTCCCTTCCTTGGATTTTGCTTGTTGAGTTTAAGATTCTCCCTTTGAGATTAATTCCTTTGGATAAACTCCTTGTTTAAAATGCAACAGCCTCTAGGAACAGCCCACAGGAAGAATTCATGAGGGTATATCAAAAGGGAAGGTTTTCAGAGGAAGAGAGGTCTGATGAAATAGTGGTTGGCA